AAATTAGCCGAAACGAGTGGAAACCGGCCGAGAGAGGAGCCTTTGAAGTTGGGAATTTCGCACTCTTGTCCTGCCCAGGCCGCGGGCCTGACGATGGGCGTCGTGAGCCTCGACGCGACGGAGCTGCGCATCATGCTGCGCACGGCGTCGCCGAGCGAGCGGCGCCACGCCGCCGTGCTGCTCCCGCTGGTCGAGCGCGAGCCGCACCACCAGGTGCTCGTGACGCTGCTGCTGGTGAACTCGTTCGCGAACGAGGCGCTGCCGCTCTTCCTGGACGCGATCGCGCCGAGCTGGGCGGCGATCCTGTTCTCGGTGGTCGCCGTGCTCTTCTTCGGCGAGATCATCCCCTCGGCCTTCTTCACGGGGCCGTCGAAGTACCGCATCGCCGCGCGGCTCGCGCCCGTGGTCAACGTCGCCCTCGCGGCGCTGTCGCCGATCGCGCTGCCGCTCGCCAAGGTCCTCGACCGCGTCGTGCCCCACGAGGCGTCCTACACCTCCGGCGACGAGATGGTGGCCCTCGTCGAGGTCGAGCGCGAGCTCGCGACGACGCACGGCCACGCGCTGCCCTTCTCCGAGGACGAGGCGGACCTCGTCCGCGGCGCGATGGCGCTCTCGAAGACGTCCGTCGGCGACGTCATGGTGTCGGCGCGCGAGGTCTTCTCCCTGCCCCGCGACTCGACGGCGGGCGCGGCGACGCTCGACGCGCTGCGCGCGCGCAGCGTCTCGCGCGTGCCGCTCTACGCGCGCGGCGACCCGCGCGACGGCGCGGAGTACCTCCTCGTGCGCGAGCTCGTCGGCGTCGCCGCGAGCGACGCGGTGCGATTGGTCGACCTGCCGGGCGCGGTCTTCCCCGCGCTCTGGGCGGGCCGGGACCAGAGCCTCTTCGACCTGCTCAACGAGTTCCAGACGGGCGCGTCGCACATGGCCTTCGTGTCCGAGGACCCCGCGGCGAGCCGCGCGCGCGTCGCCGCCGGCGAGCCCCTCGAGGGCGCCGCGCGGCTCGTGGGCATCATCACGCTCGAGGACATCTGCGAGGAGATCCTGACGGAGGAGATCTACGACGAGACGGACCGCCAGGCCGCGGCGAAGAAGATCTCGGCCTTTTTCGCACGCAGGCTCGAGGGCGCCGCGGCGGCGGCGCCGCCGCCGAGCCCGCGGCCGCCCGCGCGCTCGCCGTCGGCGCCCATCGGCGCGCTGTCGTTCATGGCCAAGGGCGCGCAGGCGCGCCGGCGCCTGCACCGGTCCGCGAGCAACCCCGCGCCGCCGCCGGAGCAGTCCCGGCGGGGCCGCTCGGCCACGGCGCCGACGGTGACGTCGCCCCTCGTCGAGGCGAGCACGTGGCCGCCGCCCGGCGGCGCGACGAGCGTCGCGCCGGCGCCGCCGCTCGACCCCTGATTTTCTACGCTTGTGTTAGCTTCGGCTGGCCTACATCTTGATGCCGAGCTTCTTGGCCCACTTGGCGAGATAGTGCATGGCCATGATGGGCGGGTTGAACAGGGGGATCTTCTTGCGCGCGCCGAGGAGCGTGTAGAGGCAGATGAAGCCCGACGGCGGGTCGACGTGCGTCGTGTTCGCGCCCTCCGTGGCCTCGACGGAGTGCCAGACGGCCTTCTTGATCTTCTTGCCGTCGTAGGTGAACTCGATCGTCGCCGTCTCCTTGGGGTAGACGGCCTCGAAGCCGTCGCGGATCGCCGCGGGCGCGTCCGCGAGCTTGACCTCGGGCCAGGGGCCGAAGGCCGCGAGGTCCGCCTTCATGGCGCCGGAGAGCTGCTGCGTCGTCACCTCCGCCGTGCCGTCGTCGTTGAAGCCCAGGACCTCCGTCTTCATCGCCCATTCGGGGAACGCGGTCGCGAACGCGCCGATCGTCGCGACGAACTCGTCGACGGCGATCGGCGGCGCGCCGGGCGGCTGGTACGTCGCGTCGTCCGTCGAGATGCGGACGAGGATCTCGGGCTCGGGCCAGCACCGCGTCATCTTGGGCACGGGCTCCTGCTTCTCCGCCTCGAGGGGCATCGTCGACTTCGTCGGGGAGAACATGGTTCTGATCCTGCGACGCGGGGGACTCTTTGACGGCGCGCCTCCCGGGGGCGCGCGTGGACTTATCGGGGTCGGCGTGGAGGCGCGCCCGCGCGGCGCACCTCGTGGATATTGTGCCCGCGGTCGCTGTGGCGCGTTCGGCGAGCGTCCTGAGAAAGTCTCGTTGCCTTCCTTGGGTT